AACAACTGCTCAAATGTCAAAAAAATGATCTTAGATAACAGGGTCTTTCTGACCCAGCTTAATAACATAGGAGTGACGTTGCAGTTTATGTGCAAAACTGCCTGAATCCACAGCAAATACAAGACATTTTGTTGTAGAGTACATAGTAAAGGAGGAATATGTAAATAATGCATAAATGCAAAATTAAATGTAATATCTCTCAAATAGACTATTAAGAATTGATGCAAAATTTTTCTTATTTTAGGTTAAATACTACACAAACTTATGTAAGAATTTAAATTATAGCTAATTACCATTAGTCTTAATCAGATAAGTACAAAATACGTTTTATCAAATTCTGCATTTGCCAACAATAAACAGCACAAAACATAAAAAGCAACCGCTGTCTAGCCGAATTAGAAAGAAAGTTTTGATAATTAATTATAGATGCCGTGTAACTGTATCTGGGTGAACTGCTGATTAACGAGCTATCCGAGATATAAGTATTTGATAAATGATCAAAATGAATGTCTAAATTATCCTTATTGTTTTTATGCTAAGGTAATATTCTGGAATTCTGTTGGAAAAGGGTAGTAATTTGCATAAAAGGCATATACCTATAAACAATATATGTCTGAAAAATTATACCAAATTGGTTGAATCCTTATAGAAAATACTTTTTTAAGATATTCCATCTTTATAAAATCTAAATTACACCTTAACAATATTCTAATGTTTACCTTACAATACCACATTCTGATGTTTTGCCGATTGCAAAAACTAGTCATAGCAAAAATTAATACTATTTGCTCATATAATTAATACTATTATTTAGTATAAAAATTTGTATTAAAGTATAAAAAAGATGTATAGACATTGCATACGAAAACAAATATTGAAATGTTGAAAAAATGCATTTAAACAGTTTTTTAAATGATCACCTTTGTTTTTAATGGGATTACTCACATTAATTTAATTTATAGCCACAGCGATTTGCAGCATTTAACATGTTTTTTATTTATTATTATTATTATTATGGAATAGATACTTCGCTTAAGTATTTGTTTATGATAAATATCAATTCTATACATTTCTAAATACTGTATAACAATAAAAAAAAAATAAAAAAAAAACCCACAACATATGTAATATATTAACATCGATTTAATTTATATAAATTTATTTTTGTTGAACTTTTGTCCTTATAACTCTTAAAAAGTTGTTCCGGGGAACGGTAGTGACAGTCGTCATAACAGCTGAACTATACTGATTTTGAGATAGGGTCCAAAAGTAGAAAGATGAAGTATGTTTGTTATAGATGAATACACATGAATCACTTTGTTTGTTATTTTGTTGTAAATTGAACATTACTAGTTGTTTACAAAATTTAGCTCCGTCATAATGGTGATTTGTTTCAAAAATGTTTTTCGGGTGATAATTAAACAGATAAAAAATCTAACATGACCAAGACAAAATTCACTATAGGAAAAAGAAAAGATTTCACAAAGAATTCAACAGTTAACTTTGTTCAGAAAATTATGTTTTGTTATATATTGTTATATTATGTACATAAGCTTTGTTCAAATAGTTATGCTGTGTTTGGTGATAATAGCTTTTGCTTTTTAACCTTTCTTTATGTCTGTCACAACCGTCACAAAAGTAGCACCCCTATCTGCTCAAGTACATTTAATATGTGAAACGTAAATCTCTCTTTTTACTACAGTTAAAAACTTTTAACTAACTTTTTACAAAACATTAAATTTGGAAAATGTATAATATATATCTAAATAATATAAAATAAATAAATCTATAATATAAGAAAATATCCCAAGTTCTCGTGTTTTCCGGAGTGCATCCATTCCTTTAAAACTAAAAAATAGTTTAAATCACGTGGAATTTACAAAAACCAATTCTCTGTACATATCGTCAATTTGAAAGTCTTATACTGATTGTGCCAAAATAGTTAAAACATCACTAACAAGTGACTATTATCCGAGATCAATTATAACTGATCTTACGCAAACCTTATTATATCAGACTTAAAATTATATATATAAAACAGGTTTGAAACCTCTGCATATAGAAAAGAAGATTACTATACAAAAAGTGCCTTTTCCTAATTCCGCGAATGAGTTGCAGTATCATAATCCTATAACATATAGGTGATAAACTTTTATTAGGTTAAAATTGTATCGCATCTATAAAGAGACGAAGTTTCATGTCACGAGATACACGAAATTAACCCTTGTGCAGGTGAGTAAATGTCATTGGAGGCGATTATCATAAAAAATAATGTTCATTAGCTCTCGAGAGTTTTATGGATTTGCGTCATGAAAATGCGTTAATACCGCGCAGCAATATGCAAAGTTTCAACGATACACAGGGGCGCACGGATTCCAGTTCATACAAAATAGTATCTACCTAATACGAGTTTAACTTTTTCGATTTAATTAGAAATACCAATGACTGCAGAGAAAGGCATCGAAATAACTTTGTCAGAGTTGAACTTGAGATAATTTTAGTTTATTGAGAACGACTTAAAATTTGTAATAACTAAATGGATTAAGGGGTTACACCACTGTAGCAGCCAAAAAAATGTATAATTTAGCCATTTCTTTTCGGCGAGCACTTCATTTAAAATCGTTAAATTTCAACAAAAGAGACGGAGAGTACTTTGTTAATAATTGATGCACAAATTAACATATAAAAAAGAGTGCGCGTAAGGATCACACGCGATTGAAGTAAAACTTATTTGCTACTGTACAAAGTAGCAAATTTAAGTTAAGTAAAAATAAATACATCATGTAACAATTTTGAATAGTGTTTATTAGTAATATGGTAACACTCGTATTGCACACATTTATTAGTGACGTCAATCATTACGCATTTATATAATGATAAATTATAAATTATATATTTATGATTGCATTAAAAATATGTATAATATTTACAAACAATAATGTAATAAGAGTCATACTTGAAATATGACATGATCGGTTTAAAGTAATTGCTGATTAATAAATTCTATAATATTCGTTCACACAAAGTTAAACAAAGCCTAAACAAATATTGTGATATAATCTCATTCTTTGAACAGCTGTAATATCTGTTTTGCCTCAAAAATTGAAGCCATTCTTTTATATTTGTTTTATTTATCAAGCCCTGCACATAGCTTGATCTATGAATCATTTTCTTTTTTATGTGAACGTTAATGCAATGATCATCATCAATATTACGAGGTAATAAATTAACCATATTATTAACGTCAACAGGCACATTTATAATTTAGTCAAATATTATTGTCTATTTGCATGTCGCAATCGTCTAATTTGCATGACACACATCCCGGGTGGAATTAACCTTTCAGATACAGTATCTAGTAGGTAGATAATTTGGTATAGGTGGAAATACAAACCCGTTAAATTTACACAAAGTGGGAATTTTACCCGCCTTTCGACAAGTTTGACATCGAACCTGATTATTTGAATCAATATTCAGAAAACCATTATTAAGAATTTGTTTTTGAGCATCATTTGATATTTTTAAGTCACTTTGAAACCAAAGTCTATTACACACAAAGCATACATAGCCAAACCTATCACTTGTAAATTGTTTTTCAAACAATCTTCGTGCATTGCTAAACAAGTTGAAGTCTTTATATGCAAGTTCAAATACTTCATTTAACTCTTGCAAAAGATCAGTTCTTGTCACATTATTAGTCACATTATATACAGAATCATCAATTTGCAATTTACGTGGTGTAGCTGCTGTATCAGAAAAAGTAACAGCAGTACTTTCATCTAAAAAGATAACGGAATAATATGTTTAAATGTGAATAGTTGAAGCGTTTTTCAGGAGTTAAATGGCGAAAAAAAATTCTTTCTTATATCAATGATGTTGACATTAACATCTAAATTGATAGCTGGCTCAAGATTTTGTAATAAATTGACAGTAACTGACTGGCGAAACAGTTTCATTCTTTAAGCAACTTCACGCTTTTGGTGACGTATGCACGTATAAATCACAGTTTTAGGTTATGAAATATTTCTCCTCATATTCTAAAAAGTTCGAAGTATATTTTAAGATTAAATTTTTTTTTCGTTGTTCGAAAAATCTACAGTGGTGTGAGCCCTTAATACATTTTGTTACGTGTACTATTTGCAATATTTTATATATTTGAAGAATGTTGCAATCATTGATAATAATTTTCCTTAAAATTTGTTTGTATGTGAATTCATAAAATTATAAATCTTGGAACGGAACCAAAACAAACTTTGTATTATTAAAGTTTCTATATAATATCTGATAATTTTATGTGTTAAAGGTCTAATGATTGTTTTTGACTTTCACAAAATTTTTATCAAATTTTCATTCAGTGACGAACACACATCTATTTTTTCTAAGGTATGCTAACATGTATTTGAAACATAATGATATGTCAAAATGTTCAGTAACATTTAAAACCTAAAGATATGTAAAGATTTTCATTTTTGTGTTTTATATTAAAAGTAATATTAAGAACTTGTCATCTGATCAACAGCGCTCACAATCGAAAAGACTAATAACGGAAGAAAATTTTTGCATATCTTTACGTTTTAAATATATGTTGGCATAAAAAAAATAGTTGTGTGTACGTTGCTAAATAAAGATTTCATGAAATTTTTGTGAAGGTCAAATATGATCATTAGAATTTTGCATATCAAATTATCAGATATTAGAACTTAGAAAATACTTTTGTTAGGCATTTTCATACATTTCCGTTTATCTCCCGATTCTTAAAAATAACAAAAAAAATTGTATATTTTTTTCCACTCACGGACCTTTTAGCACCTCATATTAATTTATGAAAAACAAATTATTTAATACTCTAAGAAATTTAAATAAAGTTTGAGTAGATAACTAGTAAGTTGCATTTTGCACTGACTCAACTACATTTTTGAATCTTTCTAATGGTGTTTTATTTTTATACTTTATATCTGCATTCACTCATTTCAGTAAATGTTTCTGAATAAGTCAATTAGTAAACGTTGTTAGTGAACTCTTTTGACAATTTGCCCAAAAAGATTTGGCACACTGGATTTTACAGTTGTTTTTATGACGTACTTTGATGATGACTTTTTTCTTGTTTCAATTTCAAATTATAATAGTATGCTGCAAGCACAAAAACAAATGTGCTATCAAAATTTTAAGTATTATATAAAAATCTTTCAAAATTTTTTTTTCTAAATTTATAGTTATAAAGACCAAGAAACAGAGTAAATGTAAGTAAAAATCGTTATTAGAATATTGAATTTTCACATAATGTATTGTAATATTTCATTTTGTTTTTTTTTTTTGATTTTTTTTCGAGTTTTAAATTTTATGCCTATTCCAAATGTCATTCATCTCCTGCAAAGTTTTTTTTATACGAAAAATAAAGTTTTCGATTTTAATTTAATGGTAAAACATTTAATACCGTACTGTCATCTAATTTGACTTGACTTTCAAACGTTTTAATTTAGTTAAAATATTTAGTGTATTTATTTCTCTTCATTACAACTTGATATGGATATTTTTTTATTCACATGTCTTTCATTTATACGATTTATGCGAAATATATACTAATTTATCCGATATTAATTTTCTAATGTAATTTTGCTATTACATTATTTGATTATCAAACATCAATTATATCAATGAAATATATATTAAAAGTAAGTGATATAATAAAAACTAGTGAAGCATGGTATCGTCCTTAAGGCAAACGAAAAGATTTATAAAAGTTTATTTTCGACTTTTTGCGATTACTATAACTTACCCTACAGAAAGTAAAGAAAATTCTGTATTATTTCAAATTTTCATATTAAATTATGATAATGAGATATAATAGAATTTGAAATAGTATTCCCATACGCAAATATAGTTCTATTAACATTATTTTAGCAGTTCAGGCACAATGGTATCGAGACGCACAAGAAAGGAGGCGAAATCACGGTCGATAAGTTCGACTACCCTTTCTGAAGTCTTGTTTCAAGAGGCAAAAAAGGTAATTGAAAAATAAAAATAATATATACTCATGAAAAAGATGTAGCAATTCAAGTAAAATATCTCCATAAATACGAATAAATTAATATAGTATGGGAGCCATTTTCTAAGACTACGCAACTTAGAATGAAATTGACAAATATTATATATTATATTCATAAATAAATCTAGATTTCATTTACTACTTACTTAGGTATTCACTTGAAATTAGTTATAGCAATATGTTTTTAGGTCAAAATAGCCCTTACCTGGAAGCTTTAATAAGTAATAAGTATGTAATATTGAAAATTAATCACAAAAAATAGGACAATTGTTTGGGTTGTCATTTGCAAACGTTGTTAAAAGTCAAAATTTATTACAACAGCTCATAGTACCCATAAGTTCTGATCTTTGTTTAACTAACTATATATATATATATATATATATATATATATTATTTATATTTATTATTTTTGCAGAAACGGGCTGCACGGAATAAGGGAATCCACAAGAAATATCGTCTATCGCCCGCATTAGCCAAATTAATAGGCAGTGACGAACCCGAAACACGTTACAATGTGGTCAAGTTGATCTGGATCCAGATCAAGGAGAGGAGACTTCAAGATCTTGAAGATCCTACCTACATCGATTGTGACGAGGAGTTCGAAAACGTAACCGGGATGGTGCGCCTGAAAGGATTTACGATAATCAAGCACCTCAACTCGCACTTTTTAGAATAGATAAAATCAATAACACTTCAGTCTCATGACAACACAGTTTATGCTCATCACTGTTAAATATTTGGGACTCCATTTGGACCGTCAACTCTACATTTGTTTAAAGCGTAAACATATCGAAGAAAAACGAAGACAACTATGTTGTCCGCTGGGTCATAAATCTAAGTGTAGATGTCAAACAAACCCCCCCGAATCTACAAATCAATTCTGAAACCCATCTGGACATATAGCATCCAGCATTGTGGTACTGCCAACCAATCAAATATCGCGATTCTACGGAAGTTTCCGGTTGATTTGCTTAAGGAAATCGCCGACGCACCATATTGCACTCCCAACTGACTTTTCTACGACGAACTGGGAGTTACTTTTATCATGAAAAATATTCCCGGACATAGTCATAAGTACCAAAACAGGTTCACCGCCCACTCAAATATCTTTGCAAGAAAGTTGGTGGAACAAACACCTCAGAAGACTGCACTTAACTGATTTATGTTGAAAAATATTCACATTGCTATTGATTAAATTTAACTTTCTGAAAGAGAAGTTTGTTTTTACAAAAAATCTGAGTTGCTAATTTATTGTATTCTCTACGTTCTCGAATTTGAAAATAGTATGTGTGTGCGCGTGAGGAAGCCTATATTTTTCCTTTGTTTGCAGTTTTCTCAAAAACGGTAGGTTTACTTGTCAATAAGAATCAAATGAATAAATATTTTGAATTAATTCGACTCAGAAGATCCGTAATCGTCGGCTGCACGCATTTTCCCTAAACACAAAAATATTTTGATACTTTCATTTTTTATTTTGTGGTGATTAGTGATTACTTACTCGAAAGAAAATTAAATAAGTATAACCACATAAAACAGTGATTCCGAGTTTTTTATGATGGGGCACCTTAAAGTTTCTAAAAACAATTCATCTCCCTCACACAAAATATTTACCTTTTGAAAATTGTTTTGTTTACGAAGAAATCTATTAAATTCTCTCTATGAAAGTAATGCAATGTTTCTAAACATGTCATAACCGAAATTGCAAAAAATTAATTTTATTACTTACTTTTTTATATTTATTTAAAGCGATATTTGAACTAGATTGTTGCTGCAAAAATATTTAATATTAGGTTAGAACTTACTCAGCTTCAATCTCAAGTCTCCACACTTTGTGTTATATATCAAGTCTCTCATTTTTTTTATCAATAAACCATTGACGGCACCAAATCCACATTTACTAATTCTCGCGCATTTCGTTACATTTGGTCCTTTGGTTCAGTTTTTCCACAAAGCCATTTGTTCAAGACTAATCAGTTATCACATTTGGTAACTTGAAACGAAAATATTTTTTTTGTTTATTTAACCTTATTTTTTATTTCATAACCGAAATGAGATCTTGCAGCTAAACTAATCAGAGATGGACGGGCGCTGAATAATATAAATAAGATTTAAAATTACACATACTATTTAACACTAAGTTTACAGACATTTCGTATCTATGCCGATCTCAACAGAAATCCGTCCAATTATTTGAAAATCATCTTAATTTATACTCAAAAGTCAGGTTGATTCGAACAATATAGTTTAAGGCTTTGCATCAAATTAAAATGCAAAAGTTGTTAACATATCACGAAAAATTTAACATGAAATGTACAAGAAAACCATATTTTTTCACTTATTATCTCGATGTCTTTTATGCATTAGCATCGTGCTATTTTATCACAACACCTATAAAAATTAGAGCTTTTATCTTTTTCACACGATTTGGTAATATTTTCTAATGTTCACGTTTACTGATCTGAAATATTGAGTTTCGAGTGACCCGATCATTTTTGTTGGCGATTTCTTATATGCAAAATATCGTGATGTTATCAAGTTCAGTACATCGCAGCAGTAGTGGGATGTCACAGTGAAGGAGAGATGATCGCATAGTCGCATTCCAAATATCAAAGTGTGGCAAAATCACAAGCATAAAAAAGGTAACTATTGAGTATATTACGTAAATTCTATCTGGTCACGGCTGTTTTCGAGCCTACCTGCACCGCTTCAAGCAAGATAGCTCGGATTACTCATATTGTTATTGCAAATAGAATTGCTGAGCACGTGTTCTTCGTGTGCCCGCGATTTAGTGCACTACGGTACGATGTAGAAGAGAGCCGAAGAATTACTCCAGATTCGGTTGTAAAACTTATGCAGCCAACTAAGGCTGCGTGGAATGTAATAGTCACATTTGCTACCAAAGTGCTTAATAGACTTGCGATGTTCGGAAAAAAGAGAAAATTGCAAAAATTAGGAGAAGTATAATTTTAGAGCAAAAATTATAGCATTCTAGATCTTTCCACCATAAAATAATGCCTAACGGCGGTTTCCGTGGGGGCCAGAGGCAAGAGAAAAGCGGAAATTTTAGTCAGTATAATAACAGAGCGGTATTGAGTCCGACAAAACACCAGTATGGGATGCATAAAGGCATTTCCTTCGCGACAAAAATAAAAATAATATATATTGGATCAGAATACTTGTAAGAGAAATATATTGTCCAATAAATATACATGCAATTTAACCTAATTTAATCCTATATTTTATTGAAGACAGTGGAATGTGAAACGGTTTCACATTCCACTGTCTTCAATAAAATATAGGATTAAATTAGGTTAAATTGCATGTATATTTATTGGACAATATATTAGGTTTCACTGAAACCTAAATAAAATTGTTGAATATATTAAAAATGGTGTATCATACATGATATGTACATTTCTGGATATATTACGTTACCACTTAGCGTCATGCACGTTCCATGATATTTTTCAGATGTTTAATTATTAGATCGATAAGGCAATACCTTATTAGGCAAAATTTAACTTACACCAGTTTTATGTATACCTATAATATTATTATTGAAGTATTTAATTACAAAGAAATTTGGAACAAAACTTTTCAAATTTTTTCTTTTCATCTACAGTTCATTTATGGCAGGACTTTTGAGTCAAATAAACTTCAACAAAGCAGATATCAACTACGAAAGCATTATTTGTTTTACATTATAGTAAGTATTTTTTAAAACTTATTTTTATTCAATAAATTTTGAAACATATTACTTTACGTTAAGTAGCTATATGTTTTTTTAAATATAAGATAGGACTAAAACCTATTTAAGTATTCTATTACCTGATTTATTTAGTGATCAAATCACATTTGAAGTTAATTTATATGTTATCTGCAACGCGAGATTGAACTCGGTACCTCGTAGTTGCAAGGCTGGACACTCCAAAATGAAAATGTCAAGATTTAAAAGCTACAACGAGCTGTTCAGACCTTCGGGTGCGAAACCTTATAAACCCGATTGACATAAATATTCGAACTAAAGCCGTTTCAGAAACAAATCGGTATCGGAATACATAATGTCGAATTAAAACAACGGAATGAAAGCGGCTGTGAAGAATGAAGCGATATAAATGTACTCTCTATCCTTTTACAATGCCCAAGTGACTTATGGATGCTACTTAAAACTTTCAGCATGACCTTTCTGCTGCGATGTCGCCTAACATCTTGATTTCTGGGTCTCCGGGGAGCCAGTATTCAGATTGTGCGATTCAGAGTAAGTTGTGATTTAGGTTAGCGGCTTGTAACTTCGTCTTGCCAGTACAAGACACAATAAGTCATAACGCAACTACCCGAATTGTGAAAGCTATCGAATTTGCCAAAACGTAAAATTTCACGTTTTACTGAATTTAAAAAAAAGTAGAGATAGCCGTACATAGAGATGCAGTGTATATAGTAAACACTGGTGTGCTGCATAAGGGCACGTTGTACAGAAGATTTTTTTACAAAACTAAACCACTAAACAAATATAATTGTTTTTTATACAATAGTACTGAATTGAGACGCTCGTACTATGATAGTAGATAAGTAATCGGCAATGCGACCATAAAGATAAAAGCTCTAGTCCCGCATTACGTTCAACTTGATATCAAGTAGTAATAATATATGTTTTACCCTGAACAAAATAAACCTAAAAATGTTTCTAAGTGAAACAATCTTTCGAGCCCCTGCTGCACTTTAGCAAATCACTATTTAAAGTATGACAAAATTTCATGACGAAGCAAAAGGACAACCGTTTGGTAATCTAGGTTGTGGGTAAAATAATATTAATAGTAATAAACAAGACTGTAGTGTCACATTTGAGAACGTTTTATACTTACGGCATTGAGTTTGAATATTATTTATTGAATTATTGTTGATATGTTGGTAATTGTATTAGATATAACCCTTGGACCATCCAATTCCACCATGAATTGGATTTGGGTAGCTGAGCAAGAGCCGACAATAAAGTAGAAACACGATTCATGATTGAAATGAATTCTTTATTGTTAATTGCTTCATGGCTCAAATTATGCCTGCAGAACACTATGTATCATTTCATAATCACTTATTAGGTGATTAGGTTTATCGGAATTCCATATGTTTCGGTACCTGAAACGTTTGTCATCGTTAATGTTAAATTTCACGTTGACGTTAAATCAAACACATTTAAAACTTCTTAGAAAGTAAAAGTTTATAATTAAAAAAAAATATTTACTATTATTTTAAGCTCGTATATCATATATCTTAATTGTTAGTCTGGATGGTTATTTTCGTGCGCGAATTGATCAAATCTTTCTTTCAAATTATTTTTTCCTTTTTCCATACTTTTTCTAATTTTTATTCCAAATTATTTTAACATAATTCTACCCTAAGTATTTTATCATTACAATTATTTTATTGTTATATTCTTTTTTTGATATTGCCCTTAACTAATATTTCCAAGATATGGGTCTAAAATCAAAATTGCGTAACGGATATTTAAAGGATTTTTTTTACCATCAGAAGAATCTCAAGATCTACTAGCCTTAAATAGAACTACCACAATATTATAACATTTTTTCTTCAAGTTGATAAGATAATACTAATGCTAAAAAA